GGGAATTTAAAGTTTTTACTAAGCTCCAAATTGATCTATTGATTATAAAAAGTATAACATTTTAAATAAAAATAAATTATAATTAAGTTTTTGCTCAAATAATCTTTTTTCAATACTTTTCTTTTTCATCAATATTTAAAGGTTTAATTCATTAACTATAATTTTCTATTTATAATTTTAATCGATAATTTTGAGCAGATAATATAAGGAGTTACATAATTAAGTAAATATTGTAATTTAAATTATGGAAAGAAAAATAATATATAAAACTTCAAATAGAAATATTATCAGAAATACAATAATAAGAAAATAAACAAAAATCTATAAAAATTCCATTAATCACAAGATTTGCAGAAAAAATGTTGGAAATTTAAAAGCAATTAGTTGATATTTCAATTCTAAATTTCCTCATAATAATTTATAATTGCAAAAATTGGAAGAAAAATGTAAATTTAAGGGGAAGAAATCATTAATATATAATTTTAATATTTAATTTAAATAATTCTTCTAAATTAAAATCATTTAGTATCCACTGGGTATTCAATATTAATGACTTAGAATGAGGTGCTAAAATTATTAATGGGTTATATTAATTCTTGATTGCTATTAGGCTTTTTAATTTAGATATCATCTTTTATTTTTAAAGATAGCAATCCCATTTTATCTTCTAATTCTTAATCCAAAAATATATTATAATTAGTTCTCATCTCACTCTCTTCTCTTAATTAAAAAACTCCTCCAAATTAGTGCTCATTTAAAATATGCTTTAAATATAAAAAAAAAATACAATTTAATTTATTTATTATTAATTTGATGTTTTTTCAGGTGTGCATCGTTTGTCAAAAAGAAGTTCTAATTTATTTTTTGATTCTAAATATTTTTTAATTTATTATAATCCTAAATGTTCTTGTAAGATTAATTATAACCTAATTTAATTAAATAATAAATTCTTACTTAGCTACTTCATTTTATAAATTTAAATAATTTATTTTCTTTATTACAATTTAATCTAATTTATTAAGGATTTATTCTGATTTTTTTGGATCATATTCTTTTTCTTTATAATTTATTCTTTTGATTTTACCTAACCAATTCTTTTATATTTTAAAATCAATATAATCATGATAATACATTTAAATTACTTCATTTTAAGTATTTTACATACTTAAGTTCTCATTATATTTTGATACTAAAAAAGATATTGAAAGAATCCAAGATATAATTGAACCTGTATCAGCTAATATTTCTGATATTTTTGGATATTCAACCATATTTACTATTTTTATCTAATCTAAATTAAAATATAAAATTGAAATTAACTCTTTACCAAAAACTTTTTTTGAATACTCTTAATCATATTAAGTACTTAAGATAGTCACATCAGAAAGATAAGTGAATTTATTTGAGTTTGGGAATAAAAACCCATCATCCATAGACAATTCTCCTGCTTTTAGGATAAGCTAGTTATAGAAGATTTAATTTTGTAATATATCAAAAACGAATATTCTAGGAACTTTAATAACTTATTTATTTCTTGGATCAAATTATTCGAAGTATATCAATAATTAAAAATAGTTATCCTGTAAAAAAAATTTATCCACTAAATCTTGGTTAGCACATTTTTATCCATTTTAAAGTTTATCTGGATTACAATATCCAATGGATAATTCATAACTAATATATTAATGATTTATTGAGTTTATGGGTGAGTTTATCAAGACTATATCTTCCAGATATAATGTATTTAAAGTTAATCCATTTGATGTTTTATTTTATAAAATTTTAACATTCATATTAGTTGCCTAGTTAATGGGATAATTTACATTTGAATAATTGTTAGTTGTGCTTTTGAAAAATGGTTATAAAATCATATTTTCTGGATCAAAAGGATCTATTTAATTTTTAAGTTCTTTAAAGTAACTTATTTCTGCAAATATCCCTTTTATATTCAATTATTATTTTTCATTAATTTATTCTTATAGAGATGTAACTTTTGGAAGTTTATTATTTTATTGCCAATCAACAAATTAAAATAAAAAATATCCTAAACTAATTCCATACAAAGTTAAAGTTACTAATCCACCAAAAGCACTTTTTTATGTAGGATTAAT